CCATTTTTTAGAAGAAAAAAAAACTGTTTCGATCCCAACCACAGTGCAATTTGACACCTCCCCAACGTGCTTTCTTTTTTTTCATTTTTTTTGGCTATCAGTGAGAGATGTCGGAATGAATGCAAAAAGAATTTTTTAAGAAGTTCAAAGTTGACTTTCAGAAGTCAATACGAAGAATAATATTTGACACAATGTTTTCGATTCCCTTCCCTTCCGCGAAATCCCTTCAATTCTCGACTGCAAAGGTGAGAAACAAGCCGTCTTTTCACACCTTACAACCGCAGCAAATACATTTTAGAATGAAGCAATTTTTTTCTCAAAAAGTTCCATCTCTAGGGTGACTTTTCTCTCAAAGAGGTAAGCTTAGGTGCACTTCGAGAACCGTTTCAGCAAGAGACTCAACCACTCGATCACCGGAGCTCGATTGATACTTTTGGGAACGAGATTAAAGCAGATGAAACTGTTTCCGTTTCTGTTTTCACCAACTCCTCGAATGACACCGAAGGGAAAGAAAAATATAACATTTCTCGCTCCTTTTTCTTTTTTTTTTCTTAAATACAGGGTGGCAACAAAAAATGTTTCACATTTCATTGACCTACATTTCCATTATTTATTAAGGTAGAAAATTAAATTACATGTCATATGATAGACGAACTCAATATATCCTTTTTTATGCTGACATTTTCAAACTGTTCCCACATTCCTCTGGACAATCGCTTTCTAACATACAGCATGGTTTTCAATAACACTGTCTACCAATGATGTGCGGTTTTGTGGAGAACACCTGTTCTTCGCTGAAACCCCATGGCAAAATATAGGAGCATAATATGAGAAGAACCTGCTGGCCGCGAGAAATCCCCTCTCATCTTCATAATGCTTTCTCCTCAAACTCATCAACAATATTCTCAATCGTTGGATTTGACGGGGGTGTTTTATCAAGAAACCATCATCTAAATTCTCTCTAACAAGGGAATGTATTTCAATAAATTTCTGCATGATTTACACCTTTTGCTGTTTTTTTTTTCACAGATAAAACAGCCCCATTCAATCCAACGATTATGAACAGCGTTAATAAGTTGGATAAGCCAGGAAGATGGATATTGGATATTGGATGGATATTGGAATGCTAGTTTTATATTGGGTTTCCTTAACGAAAAGGTGTTCCCCACAAATCTGCACATCATTGAAAACACTGATGTATGTTACAAAGCGAATGGTGAACAGTTCCAACAAATTTCTCCGCATACAAAAAGGCTTATCGAGTAGGTCAATGAAATGTGAAACGTTTCATTGACATATATTTTCCCGCCACCTTATTTACCACCCTCCACCACACGCCGATACGTCTTTCAGAGAAACAAACAATTTTTCATGATTATTTCACCAAGAAAGAATCTCAGCTCGTAACTGCAAAAAGTTGATCCACGTGAACTTTCCCGGCCAAAATTGTAAGCTCTTTCCATTTGAAGAAAAATCTTGAGAACATGTCCATACATAATATGGATGTTAGGCCTATCCTTTTATGCATACTGGACTAGAAACTTGCAGTAGCAAGTTCCCCCCAAGGGGGAGGGGGGGGGGGGGCAGTTAGAGCCATCAGTTTTATCGCAGAAAGAGTCGTACGAACCCAGAGGATGCTCGGAGGTTTTGGCTTTCCTTTTGCATTCCCATCGGCGAGATTGTATTCCATTCCGTGTCACAGTCCATGGATGTACTGACGGCATGGTTAGCAGTGGAATCGTGAAGGACTACATGTTAATCCACCACATGGTAAAGGAATATATATTAATCGTATCCACATATCGTCCGGTAAATTTTTCCTCATTCCAGCGCACGCTCGTTTTCTCGAAATCGCATCATTCACACACTGATCCGCGTGTGCGAATCCATTGTGACCTTCCTCGTGGGTCGACCACGCGCCTCCTCTCGAGGTGCCTCCTCGAGGTCACTCCACTTGTTGAGACTCGTCGCGTCACGTGGGAACCGTTGGAAAGGCAAAATAAAATGGATGAAGAAATTGGAACGAACGGTGGGACGGGGACTCACCGTCGAGGATCTTTCCTGTGGCTCAGGCCTGTACGCGTTATCGTGCTCGGGAGATAAGGGAGTCTCTTCTATGATAGTAGAGTTAGCGCATGGCGTTCTAAGTCGTTCTGAGAGCAAAGCGATACATGAGCTCATGGGTTTTTTTTCTCTTTTTCTTTCGACTATCGAATGCGGAAGGAAAGTTCTAGAAATTCAATTACCTTTTCAAACGAAAAAAGTGAGTTCATTTTTATTTCCAACGTGAACGAGAAGAATGCATGACAGCACCATGCGATAAGAAATTGACGTTATCACATGACTGACCGTGACTAAGGCACGACGCAAACGGGCGAGTCCTCGTTCCATCTCCTTCGGGCTGTCGCAACCTGGTCGTTCACTCGAGAGCGTCTTGTCCATTCGTGATGTCGAGGAATTTCCGGGAATCCCGAATTCACCAACTCTTCGCACGGCGGAATTTCCTCGATAAGAAAGCATATCTCTCGGCTGAGTCAATAGTGATATGAGTTTCGCCTCATTGCAACACAAAGTATTGCATCATCCTCACGTCGCCGAGGCGTCCCAATCCAAATCCATTCATTCTTGGCATCGCAGCCCTCAAGATATCTCGTCGCTTCCGGAGTTGTGGATCTTCCATCATGGTTCTTACTTCGCTCTTCTGTGTTTTCTTCCTCGTAAGTTTGTTCACGATGCTGCGGAATTTCGAAAGCCGAAATCCACGAGGTTTCCGTTGTTACTCCACTTCTGGTCGATGTTTTACTGTAGTGATTCCATGCCCATTCCGTCTGCTCTCAGTCCCAATTAAAAAATGAGGCAAGGAAAAGAAAAAGTAAAAAGTTCTACGAGTCCATAAGGTCACTATGTAATCCTAACGAGGAGCTGCCATTAGGAATTCCGGTCAAGAATTTGTAGATCCCTTCTTGAAGTCGAAAAAGGAGACTGCTTCTTACTGCTAAGCTTAGCAAATTTAGGGTTAAAATTGGAATGCATACGAATTTACAATTGAATTTCAACTATATTCCATTTCTCACTAAATGTTGAGAAGGTGACAACTCAAACTCGTGTTTACAAGGGGATGATGAGACCCGGAAGCAACGATCGCAATCTCGATTCTACACGCCGCTCAGTTCTGGAAAGAGCAATTGCCGCCTGTGCCCTTTCAATCCACGGCGTTTCGTTCGTGTTCGTAGGTGCGGATGGCGGAAGGAAGAAGGTCATGTGAGAATCCTGAGGATTTCTGTGGGAGGCTGTTCAACAGGAAAGCTGGAGGATATCCCTGTCCGACTTCGCATCTGCAATGCGGACCCTGTCTGCACGGGTGAGGGTTTCGCGGTTCGGTGCATCTCGTACCGTCGATGTGCCTCAATGTATCACCATTTTTTTTCCCTCAAAAACAAGTTTCTATGAGGAGGATTGGTCGGGAGAGAGACACTCGGAGGTGTGTCTGCAGATCCAAGAGTCTCATCTGGATTTAGATTATTTGGATCAGACGGATCCCACCCATCCCACCGACTTGGATTCTGGAGAAACCGGAATGCAATTTTTAGGGGTGAACCTCTTAAAGATAATCGTCCCGATCGTCGTCGTCTGCTGCCTTCTCCTCTCAGTCTGGCTCTGTAAGTGAAAAAAATCCCTTCTCGATCTGATTTCCAATGCATCCAATTTCGCTCGTCTGAGAGGCCAAAGAAGCTTCACGAGAGACGGCGTATTCATGCAAAATTTCAAAACGATGGTGGGAATTTCAGGGCGTCGGCGTCGGAGTCGAACCTCGGACGCGGAAAAAGGCGGAAAGTCGAAACAGTTGGATTTCGTCGAGTCCCCGTCCACCGCCGGACCGCACCCATACCCTCCGCCTCCTTACGACGAAGGCAGCCCACTACGTCTCCATCAAGGTGAGGCGAAAAGGACCTTTCGGATCAATCTTCATATTACGAACTTTTTCTTGCGGTAGAGAGTAGAAGTAGATTTTTTACAACTCATTTACTTTTTAGGTAGTTTTTTGTACCAAATGAGCGGATGACAGCGCATGTTCCATCCAGCAGATGTCCTGCCTCCCAAGTATGTGTCAGTTTGCTCCCGGCAACATGTCGATGTGGACCGACGCTACCGAGCTTTTCCAAAAGCCAACAGCTGAATAACGCCTAGGCTACCGAAGGCATTTCCCTACCATTTTCCGCCTCTATTTTGTCATAAAAAGGCGAGTCGAGGGACTGTCGATGGACACAGGTGACCCTCAAACGAGCGAACACTCCAGCACAGCGTTCCAACTGCCTTTGGCGTTCGGGATGCTTTTTAAACTATGAACAATCAGCGTATCCAATCACCGGGTCAACGATGACTCCCACGGCAAGCCTGCTTCAGGCACTGGGAGTCACCAGACAGCCCATGTGAGCCTGGGGAGACCTTGCCTTCTCTCTCGTCGTCTGTCTTTCCAAACCGAGACACTACTCGAAGGATTGCACTAGTCGCAATGGATGTCCTCAAAATGGAGAGGTTGAAAGAGATTGCCGAATTCATCCAGTCGGAGTGACCCAAAAACTTTTCATCTGAAATCTGGGAAGATGCGAAAAAAACCCCATTTTAAATGCAATGTTAGGATGAAGCGAGCTTGGAAGCAAAAACTGGAAGCGAAATCACTGTTACAATAGCTGCAATTTCTTGAGTTCCTAATGGGATGGACACGAGAAAATGCTGCGAATTGGCTGAATGAGGTGATTTTATTTCGATCCCGCTAGTTATAATTAGGGAGACGAGAGACTTCGTGCCTGCCTTACGGAAGTACGAGACATTTTTAACTTACGCCAACCCTACGGAAATTTTAAACATTTTTGAAAATTGGCTTAATTTCAGTTTAAAAAAAAATTAGAATTGAGGAATTTCCTTCGCATGCAAAAGAAACCGTGTAACGTAAATTTCTGTCATTGAATCTGAGACGAGAACAGAACGGAGACTCTAGCATGAGTTTGGAAAGCGTGCTGTTAATCAAATTCCGAATGCAAGTACTTAGGAGTACTTTTCAGGAATGTTGCAACTAACGCAATTCTCTGATAGCAACATGAGGAAATAGCAGCATATATGTTCCATTATAGTTTTCCCTGTCAATGTGAGAGCCGATCTTAAGGCTTGCTCCGTCCCTGAAGGAGAGAAATTTGCTTGCTTTCTGTCGTCCTCTGAGCACATCGTTAACACGTGTCACTGGTATTTCTTGACGATGCAGAAAATGAGAATGGGGGAGGAGGAAGAAGTGTTCGGTATGAGCCGCAATCGCAAACGATTGATGGAAACCGAGAAGTCGAGAGACTCATCGGAGGGGAACCTCCGGACTGGCAAGATCACAAGTAAGAAGCTCGTTCCTAATTCGAAGAAGATCTTCTGTCGAGCAGCTGTGATATCGTGGTTAGTTTCCCCATTTTCAGTTCAGAATTTGGCTCCAAAAACGAAGAAATGACAAAAGAAATTGGATCACGCTTTTCTCTCGTCCATTTTATCTTACCAGCCAGGTGAATGGAAGGGACGAATTCACGAGATGTTTACCATCTACCACCTGCTCATCACCTCGTCCATGCCCTGCTTTTCTCTCCGCCTCAACCTCAACTACCATCAGCACAGTCCCCCTCAGCCCTAACTCACCCTCGACTCCATTCCTCCAGCTACAGTCGACCACTTCTTCCACATATGACACTGTGCACCCAGTGACTCTCCCCACTGGGCCACGAATGAGTCGCCACCTGAATCCACCAGAAGCACTGGAATCGAAGGGGCAGGGGAAGGTCACGTGCCAAAAGAATTGAGAAAGATACTTTCGTTCTCCTTGTTGACGGAGAAGCTTCCAGCTCTCGCTAGTAAGACCTTCTGAATCACGGAAAACTTGATTCTCACATGGATGGCACCCGATGGTCAAGAAAAGGACTTCCATCTCTCCATACTCCTCGGCATCTCTAAAATATGTGTGGTTCCTTCTGCTTGCTTGCCGCTGAAGTTCCTTCCTGATTTTCATCGTCCAAGTGAACGAAAAAGTGATAAAAGTGGAGGCAGGACGCGATGACGCTCAGTGATGGCAATGAAAAATTGGATTCACTGACGAAGGCAGAACGCAGGAATTGGACATCGTCCTCTCGTATCAGGATTTAAGGATGAGCCCGTCAGAGCATTTCCTAAATTTGCGTGTGGTGAAACGGTCTTCGAAGACGTTGGGAACTGCATCATCGGCTAGCGAGATGCAACACCAAATGGTTTCGAATGAGTTATCTCAAGTGTCCGGCATTATTTCGCAACTTATTATTGGTAATGTCCTCGCCTGAATATGTCCTCTTTTTTTGTCTGGTAACACGTCAACGGTTTAGAATAAATGTTCTTTCTTGTATACAGGATGCATCCTTCTAAAAAATGAACATTGATCATATCGATGAGACAAATTACTTACATGAGAGAAGATGATTAACCTAAGCCCCAGTTACGGAGGAAACTGTCTTTGTCTGGATTCATGGATATTTCCCCAAGTCCAATGTAGTTATATTTGTGTTTTTTTCCGACCTCGATTGACGACCTACTACTACTGAATATCACGAGTCGCCTGTTCCAGCGGTAACGGAGTTCATACTCCATTACCGCGAATTTCGACTAAAGCAAGACACTAACGCAAGAACACGCATCATGGCGATCGGGTGAGCACATTCAAGACAAGGTGCTGTCTGTTATGCATTTCCAGGAGAAGCCAAGGAGATCGCTGCCGTACCATTTGAAGAATCTAGGCCAATCTCGAAATCGGCCGAAGAGACTCTGCCAATTAAGACAAATAAGCGGGACATACTACTCGATTTGAACCACGCGTGAAGGGAAACGTTCCTCAGAGCTTAAACGAGTAATTTTGTCTTCTACGTTGCAGAAGCATCTGGCAACTCTGGTAAACTTGAAGAACCAACACCAGAGACATGGTAAATATACCTAGACCGGACATGGCAGTCGAAGATTTCACGCCGATTTGAAGGGCTGGCCGCCATTACTGGCTTCAATGAGAGGATGAGGCTTGGGATTCACTGAGGCGCACATGGTTAATGTGTTCAGGATTCGTTTACTATGAAAGACCACTGACTGGGTTGGGTATCAGGTCTTACAATGATGAATCTGGCTTGGTAACTATTGACCCTTTTGCGGGATCTAACTTCAAGTGTGGCGGAACTTTCATAGCCTGCTGAACAGCCTCATGTAGACCCTAAGCCTAGCTGCATGGGGAACTGATAATAAGCCCTCTTATTATTGAGTGCAATGAAAATAAAGACGGAATAGGTGGTATGAATCAATTTTCAAAATACCATGCATCGTCATTGAAGACCAGGTAGGCCTAGGCCTACGCGGTCTTCTTGGAAAGCGTCAAAACTCAGTGTAGTGTGACGTCATGAATTGGAATGCTTTGCGTTTATTGGTCGATTTGACGCCATGAGCGATGACGGCTGACCCTTCTAATCGGCGTGCGGCTGCCTGGCTTTCTCCATTGGCCTGTCCAGTCTAGGTATTTTTACCACGTCTCTGACCAAAACCCATCTCGAATTCGGTAGCCAGGATTCCTCCAATGAAATCTGGGGATTCTTCCTCTCCTAGCCAATTAGCAGGTGAGAGAACTGCAACTTGGAATCGGAGTAGACGAGATGAAGAACGTGTGTTGAAGGCATGTGTCCTGAGAGAAATTTTCATCATACTTTAATCAATTTTCAGAAAAGGGGGGGGGGGGAAGGAAATCATCATGCTAACATAGGAATAAATGACGATAGTGCACGTTTTAGGGAGATGCCAATTTGCAA